CGGGTCTCCACCTTCCACCCCTTTTCCTCCGTAAACTAAAAGCTAGGTTGTTTTGGGTGTGACATGCTCTAGAAAGAGTGTATCTGGCTTCTTCTTGTTTTTACCACAAGGGATGCCTGAGACATAGGTTTGTGCTGCCATTTTGGCTCTCAAGCCAGGGAGCCTGTTGGTGTTCTCATTTTGGAATTTTATTTTGGACTGTTCAGAGGACCCAGGGACTCCGTGCTGTGATACCCAATTCCCTGGCTTTAATCAGTTATTCATTATTCACCCAGGTACTTAATGAGAAACTCTCAGTATCTAATTTTGTTTCAGGCTTTGCAGAGGGTCAGAAGGATGGAAGACTTGGCCCCTCCTCTCTAGGAGTGTACCCCATGCCTGGGGAGACCACATATCAATGTGGAACAGCCCCAGTTAGGGCACAAGGACGCTGGGGCCTGGACAGTCAGTCACACCATGGGACCTCAGGGGGAGGCTGGACGTAGGCTGGGGTGTGTGGGGAGAGCTTCCTGGACAGGTGGGATCTAAGGATCCTTAAATCATGGACAGGAAAGCAGCTGCAGCCTAAGGAAGAGCAGGGGTGTTAGGAGGCTTCCCTAAAGCTCTGTGACCCTGTAGAACTGCTGCCACTGCTAAGGTCACTACTGCAACTACAAGCACTGCACCTGACATGGGAGCTTGATGGGCCAGAGCACATGCAAAGAAAGAGGGCCTCGGAAATCCCCGAAGGAGATGCAGGGCCTTGTACCCTGTGGGATTCCCATGCTCACCCGAGGGAAACAGTAAGCCAGTAAGCGGACGGCTGGCAGAGCTGCCCCCAGACTCTGAGGCTCTCAAACCCACCCTTCATGCAGAGAGAACTGTGTGGTTATCATCCCCGAACTCACCTGCTGAGTGATTCGATGCGAGTGATCTGATTGATGTTCAGTCCTTAGCAGGAGGCAGAGCAGCAGAGAGTTACAGTTAACACTAACTGGGCATAGTTATTGAGCAGGAGAGTAGGGTCTGGAGGCGGGGAAGGTAAGGCTGATTCGCACTGACTTCCTAGAACTGAATCAAAAGGAAAAGTGCACCTCTCCACACCCAGATAACAAAAGGATCAGAGGCTACTGCCTTTGCAACCCCCAGCTTCCTCTGCATTGCAGATGAAAACTGAAAGCACCTCTGATTGGCCCCCTCCTACAACCAATCAGGCTGGCCGCAGGCCAAGTCTTTATTTGCAGAGGAGTATAACTTTGTAACTTCACTTCAGCCTCTGATTGGTCACTTTCTGCAATCAATCAGATATTTGCATAGGGGTAACTTTGTGTCTTCACTTCAGCCTCTGATTAGTAATTTTCTGCAATCAATGGGTCTGATCACGGGCCACTACTTCATTTACATAGGGCATAAACCAAATAACCAATGGGAAACCTCTAGAGGGTATTTAAACCCCAGAAAATTCTGTAACCCTTGCTCTTGAGCTGCTTGCTTGACCCACTCCCGCTCTGTGGAGTGTACTTTCATTTCAATAAATCTGTGCTTTTCTTGCCCATTTGTCCAATTCTGTGTTCAAAACGTGAAGAACCTCAACACCCTCCACTGGAAACAGGGTTTTTTGCTTTCATTGTCCTTTTTCCAAAATTGTATCTGAGGGGAGACTTCCTGGCTCTGTTAAGATCAAGCACATCTGCTTTCAAGGATGATGGGCTTAAGGCAAATACTCAGAGCCACCTGAGGGTCCTCTCGTCCACTGTGTGTGTTCCGGCAAGGAGCACACACTCGGAGCTGGGGGAGAGCATGGTCCATCTTGGTGTCAGAGAGGAGACTACTGTCCTGGCTGAACCAGAGGGATTGCCAAGACAACAGGAAAAATCAAGCTTATGGCATGAAAGGGCAGCTTTTTGTGGTGAACTGTTTGTGCAGACCAATGTGTCAATAGTGTCTACCTGGGTCAAAAGACACCTCTAGTCTCCTTGCCTTCAGGATGCTACCTCCACCCAAATGCTGCTGCCCATGATATCTTTCTAAGAACAGATCTAATCATGTCACCGTCCTGACAGCACCTTGGGAAGGCTCAGGGCCACATATCAAAACAAGTTCAGGACATCTAGCATTATGGCAAATGGGCTTCCCATGAAAAAAAATCATAGAAATGTTGGGTAAACTGTAACAAAAAAAAATTTTTTTAATGCATGCCATCTTTGGACAAAATAAAAGGAAATCCTCAAGTGGTAGAAATGGAAGAGAGGAACCACAGCCAAAGCAGTAAGTGTAAGCTGGAAGCCTGGGGTCCATGGAAATTGTAGAGGAGCCAAATTTAGGCTCTCGAGAGTGGGCTGAAATTAAAACACCAGTGGGAGAACAGGACATGTGGCCTTAGGCATGCTTGGAGATAGAAAATGTTAATCTGAGCTCAGAAAAAAAGCATCAGAGAGATGACCCTTCCTTAAAAGAGGGTTAAAAAAATGCTGCCCACCAGCTCAGGGAAGTCTGAGGAGGCAAGCTGTCAGTCTTAGAACATGGATGCAAGGGAAAAAAAATGTCACCTTTCAGATATGGAATCCCTAGGGCCTGCTCATTGAATGGGTGCACAGTTCAGATATATACTGCCTCTGAGGTCCAGGAGCCCCAGGCAGAGAAACTAACATAATATTTGGTCTAAAATAATTGAAATCCCCAGGATCCTGGTAGATACCACTCTGTAGAAATGTTGTTACAGTCCAGGCCACATGGGAGTCACACAGGAAAAATAACTCCTACCGAAAATGAGCTCACAATCAAAAGTGACATATCATGTGAGGAAATGAGCCTCCATGAGTGGGAGCCAACAAATACATCCAGCAGGGTAGTCGGGACTGCAGATAATGGAACAATCTGAAAGCAGCTATGACCAGATCTGTACCCACCCTTCAAAAGCTGAACCCAGCTGTTCTAGCCCGTCTCATCCTGGTTCTTCAGTGCTCACCTTCTCAAGTTCATGGCACTCCAGTCATTCCATCATGCAGACTCAAAATCTTGAGCCCTCTCCAAATTCTTCCTCTCTCAACTGGTTTTCTTCGTAATAGCTCTCAGTTTTCTCATCTCTCTTCCTCTCCCTCATCCGCTGTGTGCTGATCATCTAGCTGGTTTCCCTGACTTCCCAGATCCAGGGTCCTGTTTGATCTTTATTTCACTCCCATGCTGCCACAGAGGTGTCCTCCTAAATGGCAAGTCTCATGATTTTTCTTCCTCAACCCAAACCCCTGATTGTTGAAATTCAAACAACTTTGCCCAACTTGGACCTAAACTTCCATTCCAGTTTTGTTTTCTATCATGTCAGCCTCACCCAACCCTCATCCCAAGACCCTACTGGAGGTATACCCTCTTACTTATCCTTCTTATACCCCCCGACCCATGCTTCCAGACAGTCTCTTCCCTCATATTAGAAGGCTGTCCCCATCATGTCTGCTGACTGAAAGCCTACCTACCTAGCTTAAACCTTCTAAAAGCATGATGTTGTAGAAAAATGCAGCATTAGTGCTAAACAGATCTGATTTCAAATTCCAGATGTGTTACTTTATAACTCTCTGCCTCAAGTGACAAGAGGTCACAACCTCTCTGAGCCTCAGTTTGTAATGTTGTAAAATGGGAATATATGTATTTTTTAGAGTTGTGAGAGTTAGTCTATGTAAAATACCAAGACCACAGAGCTTGGTCCAAGTAAGTGCTCAGTTAACACTTGCTGAACTGAGTCTCTCTCCTCACATTTTTATGGGAGTTATGTCTTGACTGTCTTACCTTCCATGGGGCCTGAGGCCTTATCTCATTCAACTTTGCATTCCTAGTGTCTCACACAGAATCTTGGAATATGTCGATTGACAAGTACTGGAAATAGCCCGGCATGCTTAACCTGGTGTTAGAAGAGGGGCCTGGCAGATCTCAGATTTTAGAAGGGTAGTAATGGCCAATTTACACTGCAGTACTCCAGAGAGAGAGCCAATCCAGGATAAGAAGGGATATCTAACATTTACAGCTCTTTAACATGAGAATAGGTGCTAAATATAAGCTGCTTGCCATTAAAAAACTCCAATTACAGAAAGTAATCTGGGGTTGGATGAGGGATACAACAATCGCATCAGTGATTCTTAACTTTTAGGAGTCACAGATGTCTTTGAAAATCTGGTAAAAAGTTCTGAATCTTCTTCCCTGGAAAAATGACCCAAAGCATAACATTTTGCAAATAATTTCGAATGCTAGGTAACGATCACCTGATGGCCCTTCTAGGATGCTATGGTCAACTTCCCATTTCCCTCTCAATCATGAGACAGAAGGCGTCAATTGCTGTCATCTGTATCTTCAGAATTCACAACTCCCATCTAAAACACGTGATTCATATTCTAAAGCTCAGTGCTTTTGCCACAAACCAAATACTCTGTGTATTTTTTGGTCAAATGAATGAATAAATAAAATATATGATTGATCTGATCTTTAAGAAAACATATGCTACAAGAAGGAGAAAAGAGAAGGAAAAAGTAAGAAAATAAGTTTATGAAAAGGATCAACACAATGCCATAAAATGAGGAGAGGCTAATCAGCATCAGAAAAAAAAAGGATAGATTTTAGATGGCATGAACGTTCAGCCTCTTGCCCAGGACTGAGCATCCCAGGGAACGTCTAACCTGCAGACCTCTGCTGTTGTGTGGGCCCTGATGAGTTTGCCTTCAGAGTTACAATGGCACATCCCCAGGGGCTTCTGGGGAAAATCACTCATAAGGATCCATGATCCACTGTGACATGTCCAGATGATATTTGAATTTGACTTTTTCTTTTCTTTTCTTTTTTGAGACAGAGTCTCACGCTGTCACCAGGCTGGAGTGCAGTGGCGTGATCTCAGCTCACTACAACCTCCACTTCCTGGGTTCAACAATTCTCCTGCCTCAGCCTCCTGAGTAGCTGGGACTGCAGGCCTGTACCACCACCTGTCTAATTTTTGCATTTTCAGTAGAGATGGGGTTTCACCATGTTGGCCAGGCTGGTCTCAAACTCCAGGCCTCAAGCGATCTGCCTGCCTTGGCCTCCCAAAGTGCTGGGATTACAGGCAAGAGTCACCACATCTGACCCCAAATTTGATTTTAAAACCTCTTTCCCTATTTGTGAATTTAGGTCTCTATTGTTATGCAACCAGTGGCCATTCTATTATGACATGTTGCTTCATTCACACTTGGTAATGAGCTATTAAATGAAGTGTGTTGAGATTTTTTTCTTAGAATATTATTATTATTATTATTGAGACAGGGTCTCACTCTGTCGCCCAGACTGGAGTGTAGTGGTGCAATCCGGGTCACCAGAACCTCCACCTCCCAGGCTCAAGCGATTCTCCTCCCTCAGCCTCCCAAGTACCTGGGACTAGAGGCACACGCCACCATGCCTGGCCAATGTTTTAATTATTAGTAGAAATGGGGTCTCGTGATGTTGCTCTCCAAGTTCTATGCTCAAGGGATTCTCCCACCGTGGCCTCCCAAAGTGCTGAGATTACAGGCGAAGCCAGCATTTCTTGTTTGATAGACTGAGCATAAGTTTCTCAAGGGATCAGCTGGTGCTTCCAGTTTGTGTGAGCAAAGATATGCAGCTCTGTCCAGGTCAAGATCTCTTGCTGTGTCGGCACTGGACCCCACCGGCTCTTCCTTGGAGACACAGGCAGCTGCGAGATTTCAGGAGGCTGTGCAGACTCTGCAGGGCCTCGGGCAGCCCCACCCCAGTGAGAGCACTGCAGCCCCGTAGCTCCCAGCCGTGGTCCTGGAATCTCTCTAGACTCAGCCTGTTTCTGATCTCAAGCAGCGGAAGTGCATCACGTGCCTCCTGCTTGTTGGCCAGCACCAAGAAGGGAACACCAGCCATGTTGGGGTCGTTCACAACTTCCGCGAGCTCAGCTGCTGACTCGGGTAAGCGGGCTTCATCTGTGCTGTCCAGCACATACACGAGGATATCTACACCTTCCAGATAGTCCTTCCAGCTGGTCCTGAGTGGGGCCTGCCCCCCGACGTCCCAGAGAGTCAGTGACACGTGCCCAGGAGCTTCCAGAGGCTCCACGTTGAATCCAACAGTGGGCAGGGTCTCCACTAGCTGGTGGCCCTTCAGCCTGTAAAGGAGCGTGGTCTTGCCCGCCAAGTCCAGGCCCATCATCACCACCTGGGCTTCCGCCTTGTGATCTCTGGAATTCACAGAACCCATGGTGGCCACTGCTGAATTCTAGGGAAGAAGGGCCAGGGGCACACATCAGCTACTGTCTCCTGAAGGAAGACAAATCCATCCTGGTATGGTGGGTCATGCCTGTAATCCTAGCATTCTGGGAGGCCAAGGTAGGAGGATCACTTGAGCCCAGGAGTTTGAGACCAGCTGAGGCAACAAAGCAAGAACCCGCCTCCTCTACAAAAATTGAAATTAAAAAAGGAGCACAAATCTTTGCAGGCAAATAGAAGAGCTTTTCCAAAATAGGAAAAGTCTTCACAGGGTCAGACTTTAAACAGATGCCTGGGCTTTGAAGGAAGTGATGGTGTGTGAGCCACCATCAGCTGACCCATCTCTGGGTCAGAGAAGAGTGGGCCCTGGGCAGAGAAGATCAAGGGCCTCCTGGAAGGCATGGAAGATGGGTTCACATTCCTGAGGAGTTAAAGCAAAAAGGCAAAATGAGGTTCCAGTCAGACAGACCTGGTCCAGTAGAAATTACAGGACGATGACTTCTGTTCTTGCTGGTCTGTGGCTTCTAAACCTATTCTCCTCCTATAAGCCTAAACGCTGAAATGGAAGCTAAGTGGGGTTCCATGCACAGAGTGAGGAGGATGGTTCAGCTCATGGTGAACTCTCTCCCTTTGGAGCTTCCCAAGGACCAGTACTATGTCCTGGAAATACAGTCAGGTGTCACTTAATGATGGGGACACATTCTGAGAAATGCTTCATTAGGCAATTTCATTGTTGTGCAAACCATAGATTGTAATTACACAAACGTGGATGGTCTAGGCTACTCCACGCCTAGGCTACATGGTATGGCCCAGTGCCCCTGGGCTGCATACTGGTACAGCCTTCCTGTACTGAGTACTGTAGGTTACTGTAACACAGTGCTAAGTATTCGTGTATCTAAACATAGAAAAGGTAATGGTTGCACCACAATGCTAAGCTGAAAAATAGGAATTTTTTGGCTGGGTGCGGTGGCTCTTGCCTGTAATCCCAGCACTTTGGGATGCCAAGGTAGGTGGATCACGAGGTCAGGAGTTAGAGACCAGCCTGGCCAACATGATGAAACTCCGTCTCTACTGAAAACACAAAAATTAGCTGAGTCTGGTGTTGGGCACCTGTAATCCCAACTACTCAGGAAGCTGAAGCAGGAGAATTGTTTGAACCCAGGAGGCAGAGGTTGCAGTGAGCCGAGATCATGCCCCTGCACTCCAGCCTCCAGCCTGGGCAACAGGATGAGACTACCTCAAACAAAAAAAAAAGGAAATTGCAAGCTCCATTATAATCTTATGGGACCACCAGTGTATATGTGCTCTGTCGTTGACTGAAATGTCTTTATGCAGTGCCTGACTGGGGCTATTTATAAATACTGTCGACTAGAAGTAAATTTGAGTCAAAGCAAAGTAGTTTCCTCCACTGTCTTACCAAGGGAAATGACTTCTACAACACTCCACATGTGCTTTTTTGTTTGTTGGTTTTTTGAGACGGAGTTTCGCTTTTGTTGCCCAGGCTAGAGTGCAGTGGTGCAATCTCGGCTCACTGCAACCTCCGCCTCCCAGGTTTGAGTGATTCTCCTGCCTCAGACTCCTGAGTAGCTGGGATTACAGGCATGTGCCACCAAGCCTGGCTAATTTTGTATTTTTAGTAGAGACGGGGTTTCTCCACATTAGTCAGGCTGGTCTTGAACTCCCGACCTCAGGTGATCCGCCTGCCTTGGCCTCCCAAAGTGCTGGGATTACAGGAGTCCAGCCTGTTTTTGTTTTTTTGTGTGTGTTTTTTGAGACAGGCTCTTACTCTGTTGCCCAGGCTGGATTGCAGTGGCATGATCACAGCTCACTGCAGCCTTGACTTCCCAGGCTCAAGCCATCCTCCCACCTCAGCCTCCCCAGTAGCTGAGAATATAGGCATATGTCATCACGCATTGTTGCTGTTGTTTTGAGGCAGGGTCTCACTCTGTTGCCCAGTTCGGAGTGCAGTGGCACGGTCTTGGCTCACCACAACCTCCAAGCTTCCTGCAACCTCCACCTCCCAGGCTCAAGCGATTCTCATGCCTCAGTCTCCTGAGTATCTGGGATTACAGGCATGCACCACTACCACCCAGCTAATTTTTGTATTTGTAGTAGAGACATGGTCAGGCTGGTCTTGAACTCCTGACCTTATGATCTGCCTGGGATTACAGGCGTGAGCCACCACGCCTGGCCACATATGTTTTTAAAGAATCCCAAGTTTTAAGACATAGAACCTGTTCCCAACTTAGGCGATGCTTGGGTGGAACAGAGAAGGGACATCTCAACTTCTGGGGTTGGGGGTGGGGGGATATCAGCTGACCCTGGAGGGAGGTAAGCCTCTGCTCATCCCTACCTTCAAGGGTAGAAGAATAAAGAGTTAAAATTACCTCTGCGTTACTATTAGACTGCGGCTGTGAGATCCTCCGTGGCTCTCATGGAGCTGCTTTCTGCTGGCTGGAATGTCCCAAGAGCGAGATGGGACGGAAGCAGAGCAGCCGTTGCTGTTTCTCCTTTTTCTGCTTCCGTTTCCTAGGGGCTGGTGTCACGGTTCCTCCCTCACCCCAGGGCGCCACAGAGTAGTCATCCTGCTGTGCTCGCCACAGAGAGGACCCCAGCTCTGCAGCTCCTGGCAGAGCAAGGCCCAGTGACAACTCTGTTTCTTAGCAACTCAGACTTGGTGCCTGAAGGAATCACACACGGTTTTTGTTGTTGTTGTTGTTTTGTTTTGTTTTTTATTTGAGACAGTCTAGCTTTGTCGCCCAGGTGGGACTGCAGCCTCCACCTCCAGGGCTCAAGGAATCCTCCCGTCTCAGCCTCCTAAGCAACTGGCATTACAGGTGGGTGCCACCACGCCCAGCTAATTTTTGTATTTTTAGTAAAGACAGGTTTTGCCATGTTGGCCAGGCTGCACACATGTTCTCTAAAAACCTGCCTACAGGCCAGGCACGGTGGCCTGTAATCCCAGCACTTTGGGAGGCCAAGATGGGTGGATCAACTGAGGTCAGGAGTTTGAGACCAGCCTGGTCAAAATGGCGAAACCCTGTTTCTACTAAAAATACAAAAATTAGCCGGGTGTGGTGGAATGCACCTGTAGTCCCAGCTATTCGGGAGGCTGAGGCAGGAGAATTGCTTGAACCCGGGAGGTGGAGGTTGCAGTGAGCCGAGATCATGCCACTGCACTCCAGCCTGGGTGACAGAGTGAGACTCCATCTCAAAAAAAAAAAAAAAAAAATCGCTTCTCGGCCTTTTGGCTAAGATCAAGTGTAAAAAAAAAAAAAAAAGCTGCCTACATATGATGAAAACATTCTTTCAAAAGGTATATATGTTGCAGATCAACCTTTAAAATTGTGTTAATGTGGTGATTAAAGTTACTGTTCAATTTTTTTGAATGGTGTCACTGTGTTTTTCCCAGTAAAAATGACCTCTCTAGAAAATGTAATTTTTAAAAAATTGGCTAGTGAACAGGTACAGTGGCTCATCCCTGTAATCCCAGCACTTTGGGAGGCCAAGGCAGGAGGATTGCTCAAGCTCAGGACTTCAAGACCAGCTTGACCAACATGTTGAAACCACGTCTCTACAAAAAATAATAAATTAACCAAGCATGGTAATGTGCACCTGTAGTTCCAGGTACTTGGGAGGTTGAGGCCCAAGAATTGTATGAGCCTGGCAGGCGGAGGCTGCAGTGAGCCGAGATTGCACCACTGCACTCCAGCCTGGAAGACAGAGTGAGTCTCTCTCTCTCTCTCTCTTTTTTTAAATTGAGATGGAGTCTCGCACTGTCACCTAGGCTGAAGTGCAATGGCACAATCTTGGATCTCTGCAACATCCGCCTCCCGGGTTCAAGCAATTCTCCCACTTCAGCCTCCTGAGTAGCTGGGATTACAGGTGCGTGCTACCATGCCTGGCAGATTTTTGTGTTTTTAGTAGAGACATGGTCTTGCCATGTTGGCCAGACTGGTCTCGAACTCCTGACCTCAAGTGATCTGCCCACCTTGGCCTCCCAAAGGGCTGGGATTACAAGTGTGAACTATCTACCCAGTTGAAACTCTGTCTCAAAAAAGAAAGAGAGAAGGAGAGAAGGAAAGAGAAAGAAGAAAGAAAGAGAGAGAGAGAGCGAAAGAAACATAAAGCAAAAGAAAGAAAAAAAAATAAAAATTGACTAGTCAGAAACCACTGATTCGGTAGCTGTTGGATTTGGATCTAGAGTCACAGTGATTTAGCTCTTATAACCAGTAACCTTTCTGCTGTTTTCTGCTTTCCCATGCACTATTTCATTAAAATGTCAAGACCCAAGTTGGGTGTTATGATTCTCCCGCCTTACTAGTAAAGAAGCAGGCTTGGACACGGCGAATCATTGACTCATGATCTTCCTGTATTTTATGATTCATCTCTTTCTCTTTTAACATGTCATACTCCTCACAGAAAGTGCCTGTAAATGGCAAACACCAGATTGTTGATGTCGTTGTTTTTGTTAAGCTACTGTATTTTAGCAGGAAGAAGCCATTAGGAAACATCAGAAACTCAAAGTGTGTTATGTGCACCACTGTGTGATGGTATTGATGCTTCTCTTGGTTTGCTCTGTTCAGTGCCTGTGGTTAGAGATGAGCATCCCTTTTCAAGGCTGGGGGTGTGTGGGGAGGAGACACAAGCAGATAGAGGGCTCTTGGGGGTTGGGAATTATCCCAGGGAAGTCTCAGAGCAATAAAGAACCGTCTGGTGGAGCTTGTCATTCTTGCCCACACTGCAGGGAGATCCGCTCACGCTGGGACTAAGTCCTGTCCAGGCTCAGCTGCTGAGTCAGCAGGAATCCTGCAAAGACCCGATTTGCAGAAGGATTGGGGCCAGATGAAGATAAGGACAGCAGGCCAAGGATGAGTGGGTGCTGGGGTGGGGGAGCCGGGGTGCTGCTCTGACCTGGTTCCCCAAGCAGCACCAGGGCTATGGAGGAGGGGAGGGAGCAGAAGCTGTAGAAGCCTGGGTACAAGTGGCTTGGAGGCATCATGCCAGGCTGCCTGGGTGACCTATGTCCTGGATAACAGAGTGGGAAGGGTCAGTCCCCTTGGCCTCTAGCCAGGAGCCTGGGGACACAGGGCCAGGCTGCAGGTAGCTGCGTGGCACTGACCGCAGAAGCTTCAACAAGCACCACCGTCCAGGGGCTGGCCAGCAGTCAGGGCTGGATCTGTGGGCACTGCAGGGGAGCACGGGCTCCCCCAGACATCAAGGAACCTTGCCTGAGGTCCAAAGTCCTGTATTCACTGGGAAATTGTGATTACTTTGTGAGCCCAGTTCTGCCTAGAGGCCCTTGCAGCCAGAGTTTCTTTGTACACCCCCCACCCTGAGCCCTTCAGCTCAACCAGCAGGGAAGCTTTTCATTAGACACCCCGATGTAGGGAGAGTCACAGGGGCTGCTGCCCTGGAGGCCACGCAGAGCAAAGTAACAGTGTGGCTTTGATTTGGGTCCACCTGGGATCACACTTGGCCTCCACGGCTTATTTGCTGTGAAGCTCAATGTGAATTTCTCTGCACCTCAGTTTCCTTCTCTATAAAATGGGATTGATGAGGATAATAATGGTACCTAACTTGAAGGGCTATTGAAAGCATTAAATAAGTGAAGACATGTCATGTACTTAGCCCGAAGCCTGGCGTCTAGTCCCCGGCTAGTTCTATTAGAGAAGGACAGGAGCACCTTAGACATAGCGGTGTGGCTGGAGAAAGTGGCGCTGGCGCATGCGCAAGCCTCAGCACCTTTGTATGTCTGTGACTGCAGCTTCCAGACCTGGAATAAGGAAAAGGGGGTATGCAGGGCTCACTGATACCAGGAGAGACAAAGGTCTTAGGCCCCACTTCTACAGTCCTAAGAGTGTGAGGTTAGAAATATATTTCTGGGCCAGGCACAGTGGCTCACACCTGTAATCCCAGAACTTTGGGATCCACCTGGGGTCAGGAGTTCAAGACCAGCCTGACCAACATGGAGAAATCCCGTCTCTACTGAAAATACAAAATTAGCGAGGTGTGGTGGCACATGCCTGTAATCCCAGCTACTCAGGAGGCTGAGGCAGGAGAATCGCTTGAACCTGGGAGGCGGAGGTTGCAGTGAGCTGAGATTGCACCACTGCACTCCAGCCTGGGCAACAAGTACAAAACTCTGTTTCAGAAAACAAAAACAAATGTACTTCTGCCAATTCTAATACAGGTGGTCAGGCATGGCCTGGAGGGGCACCGCATGCCCATTGCACTCACCAAAAAACAGCTTACAAGCCAGGACGCTTCTTATGAGGTTTCTTATGGGATCTGTTTGACCCAAGCGCTGGGGTGGTTTTCTGTGCAGCACAGCTGAGGGAGGGCAGGGGACCGGGGACACGCGGAGGCTGCACACAGGGACTGAAGGAGTCAATTGCGGGGACACCGTCCAAATGGGTTGCTTGAAGACCATGGAAAGTTGATGTTTTTTAAGGGATTGTTTATCATGCAATAAAGCTTTGTGGTCACTTTTCTGCTGTCTACATATAGGTCCAAAGGAGGAGAGTGCTAGAACACGAGTTTTATTCTCTTAGAACGTGCTAAGAAACATGGATGGAGTCCCTTGTCCAACGCTCTTCCCCGGGGCTCCACCACAGCCCCACCTTTCTGCCTTGTGGTGACCTCCTCTTGCTATGGTCTCTCACTTTCTCAGCTTGCAGTAAGCAAGTTAATAGCTTTGTTCCAAGGGCTGCTGCTTTTAAAAATCAAATTTTATTTCTTTCTATGTTCAAGCCATCCATACACAATTCAAAAGGTAAGAAAGAGGAGAGCATCAAGGACATTCTCCTTTCACCCCAGTGCCCCAGACATGCTGGACCTTTCCTGGGAAACAGCCCACACCATTGGTGTCTTGATATTTTTCCAGAGATATTGTACGCACATATAAGCAAGTAGGGTGCATTGGGGTTTTGTTCATGATTTTCCTTTTTCTCCCCTCAATAATCACATACTTTGAGGAATGCAATCTCTTGTATAAATCTCTCAGTCAGAAGTTCTCAGCCATGAGCTGTGTTGAGGATCAGTGGGAAACAGAAAGGGGGAGACGGCCAGGAACCCTGGGAAACATCCACCTTTCCTACCCACCTGCAAGTCCCCAGTGAGTGATGTCTGGGATAGGGCTGGGCAGGGCACATATGAGTTGATTTTGTGGGTATTGTGGCGAAAGCCAACGCTCCAATCATGCTGAAGGTTGAAATTCTCTGAGAAATTTCCCTCCCTCTGTGACCATCATGTATTAGTTAACTGGGGCCCTAAGCTATACATCTGAATTTGGGGTGGTTGGTATTGGTGCAACATGTGTATGGGTGACTGTTCACAGGTACTTATACCCGTGATTCAGCGTTCCGCAGATGTGGAGAAAAGTGGACAGAGAGTACAAGGCCGACTATATACAGGGAGGATTGGTTGTCAATGACCGTTCTTGGAGAGAGTGATTGGAGCATGCGCCTGACGTTCAGTGGGTGGGGACTAGAGATGCTAGACCTCCTGTAACACC